TTAAAATGATAGACCACATGTTAGTACTAATTTCCAAAAAATGTGATATTTTTCTAATTTGACCACTGAAAATCAAATTTCTTCCAAAATTATATCTCTAAAAAATACTAATGACTTGTAGACCCTGATTATATCAACTCTGTACTTCTCCTTCCACAAATCCTGACACTTTTTAATGTCTAAAAGATATCTGCATGCATATCCTGCTGATAAAGTTCCTGTTTTATTGTATCCTACCTAAAACCTTCCAAATTTGAGAATGATACTTACTTTCAGCCAAAGTTGGTGAAAAAACACTTTCTTCCAATATTTTCTCTCTAGAAGTATGTCAAACTCCAATTTTTCTCACAAATAACACATGAAGACCATTTCAGTTGAAAATTACTATGATGCAATATTTGTTTTCTTTGAGATAAGTTCTTTTAAAATTTTGGTGCATTCATTTTGTTTTATTCTGAGGCAAAAATAAATCAAATGAAGTTTTGTTCAACTCCTGATCATGCATAAAATTCGCCAGGAAGTTATGTCTAAAATGAGTATCAGGGATCAACTGTGTACATATATGTAAGTGAAGGCTCTCATTCTGATAACTCCAGGTTACGTCGTATTCTGGGGGCTGATGATAATGCAAACTTTGGCCGTCTCTGCGGACCAGTTTCCAAGGAAGATTTCTTGGCGTGTCTCCAAGGACAGGAGTTCAAGTACTAAATGCTGCTATGCTAAGTTCTGAGAAACTAATTTTTTTCCTTAGAAGCCACACAGTGAAGACCCTAATGCTGTGGCCTTCCAACGTGATGCTCTGAATTTATGCCTGCTGTAGTGGAGAAATTATTTTTAGAGAAATACTTCCTTATTCTGTGACTGAAACTATCAGGGATGGAATGATGCATTTTTTTACAATGAAACCTTTATATTTAAATGGTGACAATATTATAGGAGTGGACTTCCCAAGTGACACTAGTGGTAAAGAATCCGCTGGCCAGTGCAGGAGACATGAGAGACACGGGTTCAGTTTCTGGCCTGTGAAGATCCCCTGGAGGAGGAAATAACAACCCACTCTAGTATTCTGGCCTATTGAATCCCATGGACAGAAGAGCCTGGTGGGCTACAGTCCTTAGTGTTGAAGAGGAGTGACTTAGCACACATGAATTAGAGTAATAAACATTTTTGAAACAAAATGTCAATATAATAAAATTCAAAGAACAACATGACATAATCAAAACTAATGTAACATTTTGATTATAATTTCCCAATTATCTTTTACTTCATAAAATGCTTATTTGTAGACCTCTAGATTTTCAATAAAGGACAGAAAAGGTATGGACCTAACAGAAGCAGAAGATATTAAGAAGAGGTGGCAAGAATACACAGGAAAAAAAACTGTACAAAAAAGATCTTCACACCCAGATAACCACAATGGTGTGATCACTCACCTAGAGCCAGACATCCTGGAATGTGAAGTCAAGTAGGCCTTAGGAAGCCTCACTAAAAACAAAGCTACTGGGGGTGATGGAATTCCAGTTGAGCTATTTCATATCCTTGAAGATGATGCTGTGAAAGTGCTGCACTCAATATGCCAGCAAATTTGGAAAACTCAGCAGTGGCCACAGGACTGGAAAAGGTCAGTTTTCATTCCAATCCCAAAGAAAGGTAATGACAAAGAATGCTCAAACTGCCACACAATTGCACTCATCTCACAGGCTAGTAAAGAAATGCTCAAAATTTTCCAATCCAGGCTTTAGCAACAGGTGAACTGTGACCTTCCAGATGTCCAAGCTGGTTTTATAAAAGTCAGAGGAACCAGAGATCAAATTTCCAATATCCGTTGGATTGTCAAAAAAGCAAGAGAGTTCCAGAAAAAACATCTATTTCTGCTTTATTGACTATGCCAAAGCCTTTGACTGTGTGGATCACAATAAACTGTGGAAAATTCTGAAAGACTTGGGAATACCAGACCACCTTACCTGCCTCTTGAGAAACCTGTATGATGTTCAGGAGGCAACAGTTAGAACTGGACATGGAACAACAGACTGGTTCCAAATAGGAAAAGGAGTACGTCAAGACTGTATATTGTCACCCTGCTTACTTAACATATATACAGAGTACATCATGAGAAACACTGGGCTGGAGGAAGCACAAGGTGGGATCAAGATTCCCGGGAGAAATATCAATAACCCCAGATATGCAGATGACACCATCCTTAAGGCAGAAAGTGAAGAAGAACTAAAGAGCCTCTTGAACGTGAAAGAGGAGAGTGAAAATGTTGGCTTAAAGCTCAACATTCAGAAAACTAAGATCATGGCATCCCGTCCCATCATTTCATGGCAAATAGTTGGGGAAACAGTGGAAACAATGGCTGACTTTATTTTGGGGGCTTCAAAATCACTGCAAATGGTGATTGCAACCATGAAATTAAAAGATGCTTACTTCTTGGAAGGAAAGTTATGACCAACTAGACAACATATTAAAAAGCAGAGACATTACTTTGTCAACAAAGGTCTGTCTTATCAAGGCTATGGTTTTTCCAGTGGTCATGTATGGATGTGAGAGTTGGACTTTAAAGATAGCTGAGCATGGACGAATTGATGCTTTTGACCTGTGGTGTTGGAGAAGACCCTTGAGAGTCCCTTGGACTGCAAGGAGATCCAATTACTCCATCCTAAAGGAGCCCAGTCCTGGGTGTTCATTGGAATGACTGATGTTGAAGCTGAAGCTCCAGTATTTTGGCTACCTGATATGAAGAGCTGACTCATTTAAAAGACCCTGATGCTGGGAGAGATTGAGGGCAGGAGGAGAAGGGGCTGACAGAGGATGAGATGGCTGGATGGCATCACGAACTCAATGGACATGAGTTTGGGTGGACTCTGGGTGTTGGTGATGGACAGGGAGGCCTGGCATGCTGCCATCCATGGAGTTGCAAAGAGTTAGAAACGACTGAGCAACTGAACTGAACTTAACCTCTTATCTCTGTTAAGCAATTTAAAACAAATGAGTTAGGCATTTAATTTAATAAATTTAATTTTTTAATGACAACAAATCTATAGAAATCAGGAGAAGGCAATTATGATTTAAAATACACAGAATTTCAATTAAAAAGCAATTTACTGATGCTTGTTGACACATCATAGAAAGGAAGGATTTTTTTTTAAATATTTTCAGATAGTCACCAAAGAGATATAGCTGTTTGCAGATTTTAACTTGAATTTAAAAACACTTCATATCCAAAGAATTGCAGAATGAAAGTCTAAATCTTTCCCATGTATCAAAAGCACATTCATCTTAGACTTCATTGACAAAGAAATAGTCAAAGGTTAATCTTGTTAGTGTACACAGTAAACTGCAAAAAGGTACATGTGAAATGACAAAAGTATTGTTCTAGCATATAATATGTATACACACACACACGCATAGCTGTCAATCTAGAAGAAAACATACAAAGTTGTTAATTTTTAAGGCATTTCTATTTCCTTACATTTTCAACATTTTTAAAGTTTTCTGCAATATTGACAGGTACCATTTTAAATCCAAACCTGTGAGGTGCTGAGTTTTTTCTTAGCTGTTTGTGTGTTTGTCCTTTAAATGAACCAAAAGTAATTTTTTTACAAACAAGAGAATATTCTGTAAGAATAAGACACTGTTCATTAAAAATACTGAAGAAATAAGAGTGTTCTAATGATAACGGTCTGCCTTTAATAGTACTACCTTAAACACTTAATCAGCTTTATGATTTAATCTTTATAAAAACTCTATGGACCTGGAAACATAATTTATTATGTCTGATTGAGGAAATGCTTTATTTAAGAGTTACATAGTGGAAAGAGTTGCAGATCTAGAATCAAATGTCTGGAGTGTTTGGTTCAAAAACAAGAGCACTCTGGCATACTGCTTTTCCACAATGTAAATGAAATAATTTATAAAACTGTTATCATAGTTCCCAAAATGAAGCTTTTTTCCATCATAGAATTCTCTGAATCTGCATGATATACTTTAAAATACGGTAAATATAATTTTTATTTTGCTAATCAGTTACCCTTAAAAACAGATACATTTGCACCATTGATTTAACATATGTCAGTGTTTCCAATTATAATGTGGATTTCTAAAGGCATGTTCTAAAAAATGTCCAAGAAAATATTTGGTAAAGCAAAAGATAATTCTACAGAATAAATGAATAAATAAAGAACAAGTAAAGTCTTCAATTCATTTCTGGAGAGAGGAAGGAAATGCCATAGAGGGAAGAAGAAAAAATAATAGCTTAAAATTTCATCGTGACTGTTATTTTAATTGCTTGGAAGCCTTTCTTTTCTGAATGACCCTACTGACAGCATTTTTTACTTCTTTGTTTCTAAGACTGTAAATGAGGGGATTCAGCATGGGGATGACAATAGTATAAAAAACAGAAGCCACTTGATCCTTTCCCAAGGAGTAGGACTTTCTTGGTTTTAAGTAAGTGAAAACCATAGTGCCATAGAAGATGGTGACTCCCAGGAGATGGGAGGCGCAGGTAGAGAAGGCTTTCTGCTTCCCTGAAGTGGAAGTAATTTTCAGGAGAGTGGACAGGATGGAAACATAGGACACAGATATCGTGATAAGAGATACCGCGAGGGTGGAGCCAGCAAAAATGGATATTGTGATTTCAATGTCATGTGTGTCAGTGCAGGACAGCGCTAAAACTGGGGGTGCATCACAGAAAAAGTGATAGATTACATTGGAGTCACAGAAATGCAATTTGTTCATGCAAAGCACGTTGACAATGGAATCTGTAAAGCCAAACAAATAAGATCCAAAGACAAGAGAGCAGCATCTCCTGGTGGACATAACGACGGGGTAATGCAGAGGGTTGCGGATGGCTACACAGCGATCATAGGCCATGGAGGAGAGAAGGAAACACTCGGTGGCGGCCAAGAAGACAAAGCAATGCATCTGAGTGAAGCAGTTCAGGTATGAAATAGTTTTGATAGAAGTCAGTAAGTCGTCTAAGGTTTTAGGGGTGATGACACTTGAGTAACTGAGGTCAAGAAATGACAGGTGACTGAGGAAAAAGTACATGGGTGTGTGAAGCTGGGGGTCCAGGCAGATTACCAGGATCATCCCCACATTCCCCAGCACAGTGATCAGGTATATCAGGAGAAAGAGGGTGAAGAGGACCAGCCGGATCTCTTCAGAGTCTGTCAGTCCCATGAGGATGAAGTCAGACACATGAGTGATATTCCTTCTGCCCATAGAGTTCAAATGCACCAAACTGTTAAGATATCAAAGTTGAAACATATCAAAAATTACTTCAAAAAGTTTGTGTTGCTATATATGTCATGACATATTTATATTTGTTTAATAATGCAAAAAAGCAAAATGGCTGCCTGAGGAGGGCTTACCAATATCTGTGAAAAGAAGAGAAGCAAAAAGCAAAGGAAAAAAGCAAAGATATTCCCATTTGAATGCAGAGTTCCAAAGAACAGCCAAGAGAGATAAGAAAGCATTCCTCAGTGATCACCGCAAATAAATAGAGGGAAACAACAGAATGGGAAAGACTAGAGATCTCTTCAAGAAATTAGAGATACCAAGAGAACATTTTATGCAAACATAGGCTCAATAAAGGACAGAAATGGTATGGACCTAATAGAAGCAGAAGATATTAAGAAGAGGTGGCAAGAATACACAGAAGAACTGTACAAAAAAGATTTTCATGACCGAGATAATCATGATGGTGTGATCATTCACCTAGAGCCAGACATCCTGGAATGTGAACTCAAGTGGGCCTTAGGAAGCATCACCAAAAACAAAGCTAGTGGAGATGATGGAATTCCAGTTGAGCTATTTCAAATCCTGAAAGATGATGCTGTGAAAGTGCTGTACTCAATATGCCAGCAAATTTGGAAAACTCAGCAGTGGCCACAGGACTGGAAAAGGTCAGTTTTTATTCCAGTTCCTAAGAAAGGCAATGCCAAAGAATGCTCAAACTACTGCACAATTGCACTCATCTCACACACTAGTAAAGTAATGCTCAAAATTCTCCAAGCCAGGCTTCAGCAACAGGTGAACTGTGAGCTTCCAAATGTTCAAGCTTGTTTTAGAAAAGGCAGAGGAACCAGAGATCAAATTGCCAACATCTGCTGGATCATCTAAAAAGCAATAAATTTCCAGAAAAAAACATCTATTTCTGCTTTATTGACTATGCCAAAGCGTTTGACTGTATGGATCACAATAAACTGTGGAAAATTCTGAAAGAATTGGGAATACCAGACCACCTGACCTGCCTCTTGAGAAATCTGTATGCAGGTCAGGAAGCAGCAGTTAGAACTGGACATGGAACAACAGACTGATTCCAAATAGGAAAAGAAATACATCCAGGCTGTACATAGTCACCCTGCTTATTTAACTTCTTTGCAGAGTACATCATGAGAAACACTGGGCTGGAAGAAGTACAAGCTGGAGTCAAGATTGCCAGGAGAAATATCAATAACCTCAGATATGCAGATGATACCACCCTTATGGCAAAAAGTAAAGAGGAACTAAAGAGCCTCTTGTTGAAAGTGAAAGAGGAGAGTGAAAAAGTTGGCTTAAAGCTCAACATTCAGAAAACCAAATCATGGCATCTGGCCCCATCACTTCATGGGAAATAGATGGGGAAACAGTGGAAACAGTGTCAGACTTTATTTTGGGGGGCTCCAAAAATTACTGAAGATGGTGATTGCAGTTATGACATTAAAAGATGCTTACTCCTAGGAAGGAAAGTTATGACCAACCTAGATAGCATATTAAAGAGCAGAGACATTACTTTGCCAGCAAAGGTCCATCTCATCAAGGTTATGGTTTTTCCAGTAGTCATGTATGGATGTGAGAGTTGGACTGTGAAGAAAGCTGAGCATGGACAAATTGATGCTTTTGACCTGTGGTGTTGGAGAAGACCCTTGAGAGTCCCTTGGACTGCAAGAAGATCCAACCAGTCCATCCTAAACGAGCCCAGTCCTGGGTGTTCATTGGAAGGACTGATGCTGAAGCTGGAACTCCAGTACTTTGGCCATCTCACGTGAAGAGTTGACTCATTGGAAAAGACCCTGATGCTGGGAGGGATTGAGGGCAGGAGGAGAAGGGGACGACAGAGGATGAGATGGCTGGATGGCATCACCGACTCGATGGACATGAGTTTGAGTAAACTCCAGGAGTTGGTGATGGACAGGGAGGCCTGGCGTGCTGCGATTCGTGGAGTCGCAGAGTTGGACATGACTGAGTGACTGTACTGAACTGCACTGAATGTTTCTTAGAATTGGTGATAATGAGGTATGGACTGTGTACAAAGAGAAAAATAATAATTTGATTCCCAAATATAGAAAAAGATGGAAATTGATCTTTGAATACAATGAAAGGTAGTATATTGAATAATTTCTATAATCCTGACACAGTTCTAAGTGCTTCCCTTTATTAATGCATGTAATGACCATGAGATTATTAGCCACATTTTTCATATGAGAAAAGGGAGCATAATTTGTGTAATGTATCCACAGTTACAACTATTAGATGTTGGCTCTGTATTTCTACCAAGATAGATTGACTCCATAGAGCATGTCCATAATATTCCTGTGTTAGTTAATTTCAAATATGCCTATTAAAATGCTATATATATAACAATCATAGTAGAATATTTTTAATATACTATGCTCTACTATATTCCCCAATATTATTTAATACTAATGAAAAATAACTTTGAACCTTTGGACTTTAGTAGCTTGACCACATACTTAGTATTAATTTCCAAAAGACACAAACTTATCATAACCTGGCCATTCAAAATCAAATTTCTTCCAAAATTATATTTCTAAATTGCTGAAAGACCATGATCATAGCAACTCTATATTTCTGGGTCCATCAGTCCTGGCACTACTGAAGGCAAAGATATATAAAATGATATTTGCATGCATACTCTTCTGATATTATCCTTACTTTATTTAATTTCAACTAAAACCTTCCAATTTTGAGAATAATGCTTACCGGGAGGCAAGGTTGATCAAAAAACACTTTTCTTCTATATTACCTGTCCAGAAGATTGTCAACTTCAACATTTGCTCACAAATAAAGTATGAAGACCATTTCAGTTGAAAATTTCTGTAATATAATATTTTTTCTTTGCGATAAATTCTTTTTAAGTTTTAGTGAAGTCATTTTGTTTTATTCTGAGGGAAAAATTAATCAACCTAGAAAGTTTGTTCAGTTCCTGATCAAATGTAACATCTGCCAGGAATTTATGTCTAAAATGAATATCAGAAGCAGAGCAGCATTGCCTTGCCTCTTATCCTAATAATTCCAGGGCACTTCACATACTGGGGATTGATGATTGCAACATTTGGTCATCCCTGTGGACCAGTTTCCAAGGAAGAATTCTTAGCATATCTCCAAGGGCAAAAGGGAATTGGCATGTCTTCAAGGATTAATGCAGGTATGCTAGGTCATGAGAAACTAGATGTCTTCCTTTCCAAGACCCACAGCAGAGGGACTAATGGTTTGGTCTTCCTGTGTGATGCTCTAAATATTTCCCTAGGTGGTAGAGAAACTATTTATGGAAAAATACTTACTTACTCTATGCCTGAAACTTTCAGGGAAAGAGTGATACATATTCACAGTGAGTCTTTTATATTTAATTGTGTGGCACTATTATGGGAGTAGGCATTTTCATTAGAAACAAATTGAGAATTTAAGAAAATTGAAAAAATGATGTGAAAATTTTCAAAACTTTTGTAACATTTTGGTAAATTTCTCAGGATGATTTTTTTAATAGAAAGCTTGTTTGCATACCTGTATAATTTCATGATTATTATTATACTGGGTGTTCACTATCCACCCTTATTTGATAATTTACATTTCATAACATACTATGACCAATGTTATTCTAGCTTCTCATAAAACCAATAATTTCACATTTTATTTGTTAACTGATACCCTATAACCAACTTTATTCTAGTGAAGTTCTCTTCAGATGTTAAGAATTTTATTGAATATTATTCATCCAAGATGAGACAACAAAAAAAAAGACTATAAAAAGGGATAGACTAATTAGATTAAAATACTCTTATGAATCTTTCATTAATTCATGATAATTAAACCAATTTTCACATAGATTTAAAAGTGACTTTTACTGGAAACTCTGGTCATACTCCAGAATTTCAGGAGATAATTTGTTTGGAAGAAATGAAAAAAGTGTGCATTTAGTGTACTTTTAATGAATTTTGGAAGAGCAATTATACTCACCCAAACTTCATTCTGCTAGAACAAGTGTGAAATAAAGTTCATATTTTGTCATGGGATAAGAAAAATTATAAACAAAAACTTTCCCCTGACCTTTCACCTCCTCTCTCACCTCTCCTGTTTATTGTGTATCTGCATTATGCATTGGACAAGCCTCCACCATCAACAGAAACACCTGCTCAGACTTAAAGAGCAACATTTTTCTAGCATCAACAGAGCAACTCCTTAAGATATTCCTTCTTGATCTCATATGGGACCACTATGACCCATGACTTCCCTGGTGGCTCAGATGGTAAAGATCTGCCTTCAATGTGGGAGATCTGGGTTCAATCCCTGGGTCCAGAAGGTTCCCTGGAAGAGGAAATGTCAACCCAGTCCAGTATTCTTGCCTGGGAAACTCCATGGACAAAGGAGCCTGGTGGGCTGCAGTCCATGGGGTCGTAACAAGTGAGACTCAACTGAGCAACTAACACTTTCACGTGAACCATGACCCATTATTGCTTAGATCTAGATTGTATCTGCTGTCAAATATACATCATTTAATGTACATGTCTCTGTCTCAAAACTTATATAACTGTCTTTTGACTTCTAACGGGCAGAACAGTTCTTGGAGATTTCTGAGGAGTTGTCCTCAGGTTATAATCTTCAACTTGAATAAAATTTTCCATTTCTTTCTTGGAGTGGCTAATTAATTTTTCACTGAAAGTCCGAATCTTTGAGACCCTATGGACTGTAGCCCACCAGGCTCCTCCATCCGTGGGATTTCTCAGGCAACAATACAGGAGTGGTTGCCATTTTCTTCTCCAGGGGATCTTCTGGACCCAGTGATCAAACTCAGGGCTCCCACATTGCAGGCAGACTCTACCCTCTGAGCCACCAGGGAATCCAGTCTTCTTTGAGATTAAAAAGCCAGAATAAACTTACTTGATAATAGGTAACTTTGAGAGTTAAGTCAAATACAAAGCTAATGGTAATTTTGAATGCAA